AGCAAGACACAGATGAGCGTCCCAGCTAGCTCCAGACAAAGCAAACCCTCCTTTCCTGTTTCCAACCATACGACTGGGACAGAACTGGGACAGAACTGGAACAGAATCGGACTGGGATAGAACTAGAACCTGTTTTGAACCAGTTTGACATGACTGTCAACGAGGAAGAGGGCCGGCACAAGAGTAGGGGGCGTGCCAAAGACACCATCTTAGCACCAACAGAACTGGTTTGTTCCACAGTGGAGTAAGCTGTTGGGGGAAGAATCAGTTTTGTGTTGTGTGTTTCCTTGACTGATGAAGCCTTCTGGATGGAAGGTGAAACGTTTCAGCACAGAAAAAGAAACTGTCCAGATGAGCTGACTGAAACATGTTGGATCTCGTGCACCGCTTGATCCATTTTAACGACCCTTCACAAAAGAATCACAGGACGTAACCGTGGGAACAGGAAGAGCTCAAGTGTCATGGCTTTGAATACTTACGCACGTTATTTTTTCATTTCCAATAAACGTGCAGAAATGTAGAAAATTCAAACCTTTTGGTTTCATTTAGTCGTTATGGGCTGCTTTATTTTGTGTGTTGAATTTAATGGTAATAAGGCTGTCACACTAAAATGGAACCAATGCATCCTTTCCAGATGAAATGTCACTTCAACGTAGTGAATAATTTGCTGGTTGATATTTATGGACCAGCTCTGACCCGTAGCTTTCTTTAACCACGCAGATCCTGAAACATAAAACCGTGAATGACCTGTCATGGATGGAGTCCATCTTCTTCTGAACTTTGTCACAGTACAGGTTGTTGCTGTCCACCAGGCGCCGTCCCCACTGCACAGCACCGTCGATCTTGTCCTCGTTGGCCTCCATGGTGCTCACAAAGTCCTCGTGCTTCTTCAAGGCCTGCTCTGCCCCAGCTAGCGTGTCAGGTGTGTCTACGTGGGCCAGAGTATACTCCTGCAAGAAAACCATTAGGAGGTTTAAAGGAAACCAACAGCACAGAACAAGACACAAACCCTGCAGACACACTACGTGACAGCTCACTGCACACATCAACCAATAGAACTTTACCATCCATAACACTCAATGAAATGGAAATGTGACATCTGGCTCATAAAAACAACAAGATAAAAATGTCATTAAAAAACTTTTGCTGACTCAATTAAAAACATTTCATTAAAACCATTCTAAAATACACGATCCATTAAAACCTCCCAGCAGACAGTGGTTTGACACGTGAGGCTGCGTTTAAAAAGGACCTTGTTAAGTTCATTCAGCGCAGAGGGAACAAATGACTTTTTGTACCATTTATCTTCACCAGTGGAACCAGCAGTCTTCTACCAGATGGACCAACCTGAATGATGGTTGCAGTGGATGAGTTGGCTCATTGTAAACCTGCATTGCCTTTTTTTCCAGAACCTGACTGTACAGGTCTGTAGGTGTCATTTGTTGATGACCAGTGACTTCACGACCTTGTTTGACCCCCGGGACAACTTCCTGTCTCTGACTGGGAGGTTCCCATACCATGAGACAATATTAAATGAAACAACACTTTCATCCAGTGACCTGTGCACCAACTGCAAAGTAATTTTGCTTGCATTAAAGCTCCTCAGTTTATACAGAAGGTGGAGACGATGTCTGGCTTTTTTGTAAATATAGTCAGTGTTGGGTTCAAAGGTCAACTTGTTGTCAATTATTGTTCCAAGGTATTTAAAATCAGTCACCTGCTCTACTTCCTGCCCTTTTATAATAGAAGGCCTAAAAGTAGGTCTGGTGCTGGCTGCTCCCCATCTACCTCCCAAACAAAGTTCCTTGGTTTTACTGACATTAAGGGCCAGGAAACTGTCATCAAACCAGACAGAGAGCTGGTCTATGAGCTGGGAGTAGGAGGGGCTACTGGTGTCTTTCAGACCAGCAACTAGGGCAATGTCATCAGCATACTTAATTAATGTGAAATCTTTACTGTTGTGTTGCAACTCATTTGTGTATATAGAGAATAAAAGAGGCAATAGAACACAACCCTGTGGAACACCAGTGTTCAAGACCCTACAGTCAGATAGTTATCAACACAAACTCGCTGGGGTCTTCCTCTTAAAAAGTTGCTAATCCACAACACAAGATGGCTGCTGACATTTAGATCACACAGGCGTTTTAAAAGTATATGTGGCTGAACCGTATTAAAAGCTGATGAAAAGTCCATGAATAATATGCAAACAAATGTCTTTGGGTTGTCTAAGTGATTATGGACCTTGTTGAGGAGGGAGAGAGTGGCATCCTCCACCCCTCAGTTAGTCCTATATGCAAACTGCAAAGGGTCCATATGTTCAGCTGTAACACACATGAGTTCTCTGCTCACTAAGCGCTCCATACATTTATATAATACAGATGTGAGGGCAGTTGTTCTGAAGTCATTCAGTGTCTTTGCATGTGTTGTTTTGGGCACTGGGACAATAGTTGACATTTTCCATGCTTGTGGGACAATAGTTGACATGTTCCATGTTTGTGGGACAATAGTTGACATGTTCCATGCTTGTGGGACAATAGTTG